CTGTGAATGAATGATATTCCATTGCAAAGAGGAGTAATTTGGCTTTTTGGTACATTGAATTAAAAGGATGCAGTCAGCATTGATTTTATGTTTTCGTCCGATATTGCATCGGGCTCCGTACACTGACTTTTGCAATGTTTATAACTTGGCCCGAAGCTAATTTTGGCCCACTTTGCAAATGGAATGATTACTCACCCAACCATGACCAAATATCAATGAATGATATATCATTGTAAAGAGGAGACACATGGCTTTATGGTGCATTGAATGAATTCAATGCTGTTATCACTGGTTTTGTGCTTTTCCAAGATAACAATCTGTTGCTTTTTTTTATACGCACTGTAGTCTCCAACTTTTTGTATTCAGTGGTTGGTGGTTGATGCCTGTAACAAATTGCATGTGGTGACCTTTGCATGCTCATGGATTGTTTACGCATACACAATTTTTTGTGTTCTTCTAATTCAATACAATTGTTTTTATGATCCTTGTATTGCAGTGGATTCTCCCAATGGTACTCTCTCACCAAACATCCACACAAATGGGCTAACAGATGTTATCGATGCTTTCTCTCCAACACCCATGGAAATTGGCTAAATGAATAATTTGTTAGATAGATTTGAACCAAGCATAACTGACAATGTGCAGATAGAAAAATAAATGCAATTCATTTACTGTGATATAATAATAATTATAGATATTTTTATTTGATTCATAGAGCTATTAAAACATGCATCTGAGATGACTAAATAATAAATCTTCTTGATGCTTGGATTCAATTTTATTATTATGATTTACATGGCAGAATCATGGGCATTGCAGAATGGATCATATGACCTACATTCATTCATCTCCTTATTTTGCTAAAATGATGAAAACGATAATAAGTATTTAAAATCATTATGCCAAATTTAATTCATAACACTAATCCTTAGTTACAAAATTTTAATCACTCCATTATAAATAATTCATGAATTAATTTTTGCACATTACAATATTATTAAATATTATCTAGATGATATTTCAATGGAATTGAACATTTTGAAGTTCATAACTTCATTTTATATACCCTTTGCATTCGTTTGACTTCACTTCTAAAAAGAGAGCTTCGTCTTCACTCTTTGAAACTAAAATAAACCTGTGAACTTACCGCGCCAATCAGTGTTCGTCGGCCAAATTTGACCGACGTTCTATATATGGTCATTCCTTCTGACGTCATTGTTGAGCCTGGAATTGACCAATGACATGCGCATATTTAATTAGAACGCATTTGGCGTATGTTTCTTCAATCTCGCTGATTGGTGAAAGAAAGGTCAGCGCGTTTGTCAGAAGTGATTTATTACCCAAACTGTCCCCGGTACCTGTCGTGGGGGCGGGGCTACTAAACTGCAATATGGTCTCTACTAGGCAGAGTGTAGTTTAACTAGACTCTGCACACAGGGTACATTTTATATTAATCCTGTGTAACCATAGAAATTGTTTTATTGAATATTTATTATAATCAACACAGATTATATCGTCAAATGTGAGTGTTTAGGAAATAAATTTAGGTTGTATTTATTGTTTGGTATTAACAACATGTTTTTTAAGATGTAATTTTGAAACCTCTTCAATCAGAATGAAGTCAAGGATGTATTTAGTACAATGTATATATTTACATACAGTATAATGAAATATTGCTTCATAAAATGACATAAGGAAAATGTACAAAATTGACACTGTGTGGTACAATTATTAACAAAATTTGGTAGACTATTAGAATATTGAAACTATTTTACAAATAATCAGCTTGTTAAATCATAAATCAGATGCAATCACTGTGAATTGTGTTGATGTAGGACAGATAGATGTCACCCCTGGAGTTATGTTGTAAAATGCTACCATCTATATGTATGGCTTTTGACTAGAAATATCTGCAATTCTAATAATATATTTTGCAATATAATATTATATATTTGTTGTGTTACAATTTATTGAAAGACCAGTAAAGGTTTCAGGGTTTTAATGGATATGATGAGTATATTAGTGACCTCATGTATCAGATTGGACTGGAAGTATATTTATTATTCACTTTTGTTCCAATTCTTCTATCAACTTGGGCAATATTATATTGAAAACTCTCAAATAATACAAAATTCGAAATTGTGTTTTGTTTAATGCAACATGTTTATTTTATTAACATTATTTATCAATGCAACCTCATATACTGTAGTTATTTTTACATTATTACAACATTATCTGACATCCATACAGCACAAACATAAGGGAAACCATAAAAAGATGGTGCTTTTATTCACAATTCAATTTCTGACTATAGAAAGTATAGAGCTCAAACCTTTCAGTTTAGTGACATTTACAGTTTTTTATTGCCTACAATACATTTTACGAGATGCCAATAAAGTTTTATCTTTTCAGTTGCTACTATGAATGTATGAAACTTGAAAGGAAGAAATTTAAATTGTTGACTTTATATCAGAAAACAGAAAACCATCCTACTGTATTTCAGTTATACGTTAATGAAACAGTTTTTTCAAATACATGTATGTGTTAAACGCTGATTTGGTAGTATAAAGTATTCATAATACCAAACCACAATTAGAATTGCACATTATTTGTACAGAACATTTTCTTCCAAAATATTTTACTTTTTCCAAAACATTCCACAATATGATATAACAATTGTAACATTTTTCACTCAAGGTAAAAAAGTAAGGACACTTAATGAGGCTTAAAGTGAATGTCTCCTTCCAATGTCCAATGTATACTTTCAGAATCCACTTCCCAAGCTCAACTATACATACACATCAACTATACACATCTTAATCTAATACCACAGCACTTTATTAATTAGGTAAATTAGTGATAGCAGATCATAACTTAAATAGCATTATATCTTATCTGTGCTAAGTCTGCACACATATTCTAAGGCATCACATACATTGCCAATCTCCATTGTTTGATAAAAATTCCATAACAGATGTTTAGGTTGTGTTGTCATCGTTTTAAAGAAAGCGTTGCAAATTCTTGATTTCAAATACTGTAGTAAATGGAGCGGTTGCTAGATAAATTTTGATTAAATGCAAAATTCAGATAATGTTTAATGTTTATCTATAGATTGTTGTAGAAACATCTTCAACTTGTCTTCAAAAATACATATGATATCAAAGATGTACTTATCACAGACATATGGTTAACGATTTGCAACACTATGACTAATTTTATCCTTATTACACCTTGACTGAGCCAAATCACCAAATGCCACCCATGCTTGTTTTTCTTCTGAGCTGAATATGTAAACATTGCATAAAACAAACAAATCAAAGGTAAAGTTGCACTTTCCAATTAAATGCAAGAAAGCAGCAAAACTAAATGCATACACATAGTATTTTTTGTATCTGGATGAGTGTTTCTGTGATTTGATAGGACTTGAAATAGCCAAGACGCATGATCATGCTGTAAGAAATCCAATTTTATCATTAAACCGATGTATAAGTTCACCTTTAATGTCTGCAAATTATTGGTTATAGCCCACACCGTAGGGTAATGGCAATGTTTTTACAAAATATTCTTAACTTAGATTAACAAACAGGGACCATCTATTACAATTTTAAGAGTTTTAATGTTTATTCCTAAAAAATAATAAATAATTTTATAATTTTGTCTTGTAGCTTACATTAGTATATTGTGTTGCTATATTCGCAACTGAACATTAACACTGCAAGTTACATTTCAATCAACATAAATATATGCAGCAATATAGACATGGTCTTATGTAGGTCAAATGGTTTAGGTTCAGAGCCAGCAGAATATTACGTTTCATCACTATATTTGGCAGAGCACCTTTGAGCTGATTGGATAACTAGCAAACTCCAAGAAGATCATCCCCACACTAATACCTTGCAAAATCAACATTCTGAAGAGCATTTACCTTAACCTGGCATATCAAATACATTATTATCTGAATATACAAAAATCAAACTGATAATGGTTGTAGTATTCGTAAAGGTATTACCAGCTGTATGCCATAAGTCACGCAATGTATTTGAAAGTATACCATGCACATTATAATAATTTTATTGTAAAATCATGATTCATCTAATCCCCTTAAACTGATGTACACAGCACACCAACATTTTGTACACTTAAAAAGTTATATATTATATACACAATAATAATCATCCAATACTAAGTGATAAAATCACAATGAACTGTTTTGGACATCACCACTCATCTAGAAAACAATATACATGTACATGTTATGATTTTTAATAATTTATTTGTCAATTCAGTCATGATTAACCACTGTTGTTATAACAAATACTATTTACATTTTAGGTTATCTAGTGCATGTTTATCATAAAATCGTAATCAGCAGTTTTAGATTTTGCATATACATTGATGTAGTGAGTTTGGCAATCTACATGCCTTATTAAGCATTTGATATCAACTATTTATCTACAGATCTAATATGATACATTTTCGATGTTATGAAACACGAATTATTGCTATATTCAACCTCAACCCTAAACCATTTCAATAAATGAGTGAAAGGTAATATGGCAACTATTTTATTTACATTTAAACTAGTTTTAAAATAATATTAATTTGCAGTACATATTATCATTTTCTCATTAAAGCAATCAATCATTACATAGAAACATCATCTCTATAACTGCAAACATTCAAACTTTAAAAAATAGTTACATCTCATTTCAAGTCAATGTTTCATATACTGTATATGTCTCTATAAGTCACTGACAGCTATAGGTTGACCACCATGGGGTTTTAACTTCATCGCACTTGGGTCAAAGCCACCGAATGGCCTCACAGCTTGATTTGCTGCTTTGAAATTCAGTTTTTTAAATCCCTGACTGGATGGTGCTTCTGTGGAGTCATTACTCCCTACACTAGATGAGCCCCATGATTTTGTTGATCCTTGTCCTACACTTCCAAATGCCTGGGGTTTCCTGTTGTAATTTGTTGATGCAAACTGGCCTGGTCGTGGCATCCCACCTGGAGCGCTGCTTGTTGATACAGGCATGGGGGTACTTGATGGTGGAGTTGCTGAAATAGTGTGCTGTTTTGTTAGCATGTTCAACATGCAGGATATACTGTATTAAACATTTTAAAAGATTTAGAAAACAACAATACTGTCCACCATTTCCCAAGTGCCACCTTTAAATATTCCTTGTGTGGTTACTAGCAGATCTTAATGTTAAACTAAATAATTTAATACAAGACTCATATACTACATATAAAGAGCTAGATACTTAGGTAAAACATGCATTTCTTTTTATTATTTTCTCTTGATTTGTTGGTTAGCCCATATCCCATGATACAATACTAACATTGTATTAATTTGTATAAATGTACTTTGTTTTATTTAAGAAATACCATTCTATGGTTATGTTTCTCATATTTGTTATGTAGTTGGTTATGTTGGTTATAATTATTGGCACCTTGGTAGTTCTGAAAGGAGCCAGTTCTGCTATGGTTGAATGACTGCCTATTTTGGCTGAAAGGCTGTGTCATAACTTGTTCATCAAAAGTAGTGTTTGGTATAGGTGTTAGATTCACATTGACCATGTACTTCCTGTTCTGTTTGTCGCCAATGACAAATCCCATCTGACCATCAGTTGGTGTTAAACTGGCAGCATGTGTTAGATCATTTCCTACAATTACAAACATGCAAACACTACACAAAATGCATGCTTAAAACAGATTATTTCATTAATATCCAAGTGGATTATTCAAACCTTTACATACATGTAGATATAACATGAAATAAGCAACAATAACACATTTATATGGCTTACCATTCTCAATAAAACAGTAACCTTCTAATTAAAACACATATCTACTAGTCAATGAGTTAGTGTTATGGTTAAATGCACAAATGTCAATATTAGAAAAACAAAACACCAAAACCTCCTATAAACCAGATAAAATAATGTATTTGATGATATGACCATACTCACCATTTCTGTGCCCATAACCATTGATCTCAGGACCTGTGTTACATGTGTTCTGGGGATGGTTGTCCAAGGCAATGTTTAATTGATGGTTGTTAATATTGAGTTTCCAGTTGTTAGCATTTGAGTCTGAAGATGGGGAAAATGCCGATGGGCCATTGTTAGTCATTGGGTTCTCAATTGAGGACAGGCCAGCAGACATATCGGGAAGATTAATTGAAGTGTTTGCAGAAGGTGGTGTAGACCAAATAGAAGTATTGTTGTTAGGTGAATAGAGTTGAAAAGAATTGTTAGTTGGGGTACTAGAAGGATAAAATACATCAGGAGTAGTGTTAAAATTGTCATAAGTGCTTTGTCCACTTGTGTTATTAACGTGAGTGTTTTGATACATATCATAGTTATCACATGTCTCAAGACTACTTGGATCACTAGTGTTGTTATATGGATAGCTTTTGTCAGTATAAGAAGGTTCAGTAGGAGAGAAGGGACCAGGTGAGAAGACATCGGGTGTGCTGCTAGTATCACTAGCGAAACTATGTTGCTTTGACCGCAAGTAGATTCTAGTAGGGGAGGGATTGGTGCCTGGATCTTGTGCATCTGACATATTCTGTGCATGTCCTACATAAACAAAACATGCAATGCTTTAGTTTCATGCATCTTGAACAGATAGAATAATATACATGCAATACTTATAACAAAAGGGCGAAATCTACAGCATAGCTATATCATGCACAGGCGGGAACAAACTACAAATGGTGTACCAAGGGTAGGTCCTTATTTCTTAACTAGAGGTATGCATAATTTTAAACATGTTAATAATACAAATCTATTAGCAAATCTAAAACTACATATTAAACATGATTATTCTGTACAACACTATGGTATATTAGGCTTTAATTAGCTACAGAAAAATAACAAACAATCACCTGCAACTAGTACATTGTTAAGCACACTGGTCGGAGTTGAAGAGTCATTTCTTAAAGAAACAAATGATGTTGACACTCTTCTTATATCATCAGGGGTTCTGGGGGTTCCTTGTCTTGCATGAACTGGTTGATATTGTGTCATTTCTCCATTTTGTATCTCAGGACTGTAGTGTCCATTCTGTCGTGGATTTTGGCCTTTGGTTTGCACTCTACCATTATAGGCTTGATAATCATTTAGGCTGTTATAGGTTTCTTTTCTTATATGCATGTCATATCTTTCACTTTGTGTTTGCTTCTGACTTTCACTGTTGATCCCATTTTGACTTGATGAACTTACAAAGGGTTTTGGTTTAGAATTTAGATTTCTGTCCATAAAGCCACTCATTGGTTGGCCTCTTCCAGGTTGAAACATACTTTCATCAATGCTTGGTCTTCTCATTTCTTGTCCAGTAAGTCCTGCTATGTTAAAAATGAAATGAGATTGAATGTTTTAGATGGGGGTAATAAGTTAGAATTGACAATTACAAATAAAAATATTAATATTTATTAAACGGATGGGGTTTTAGAGGGAAATTTAAAATCACCTGGGCTAAAAGATTTTGGGGTTTTGCCTAATATAGTGTTTCGTCTTGAACTTTTTCCTTTTCGCCATGATGGTGTCCAAGTTGCTGCTGGCATTGTTTTCTGTTGATTATGTGGATTGAGTGAGTGGCTATATCTGTCATAATCCCTTGTTGTTTGGCTACTCATTGGCACATCTGTATTGTATCCACCAAAGCTGGACACAGATTCATCATCTCTGAACATATCCATGTCTGACATTATGTCATCATGTGAGTCAAAAGAAAAGTTAGCCCCACGTCGACCTGTTAATATATTTAATGTGGAATATTTTAGGTCAGGAATTATGTAAAACATGTTACTTCAAAGCACACACAATAACATCTCTAAACAGTGCAAAAACTTGTTATTTTCACATCTATCATTAACGCTTCTATCTAATGAACTGATGCAAATAAAATGCTTTTACTTATCATTAGCTTAGAAATTTCAAAATTTGAAAAATCACCTGAAAGCTCTCCTTCTTCACCAAACAGAGCTTTCCGGAATGCATCAATGACTGGTGACACATAATTTAAATCATCAATGGAATCATTACGCTGGTGCTGAGGGGTCATAGGGGCCATGGAGGTTGCTGAGGTCAGGATTGGTTGTAGGGGAGATGGTTCTGGCCAGGTTGAAAGGGAGGATGGGAGATGGGTTGTGCTAAAAGCCTTGGAGCGACTTAGATTTGTGTGATTACCAATTGAGTTGTCATTGCTGTTTGAGGTGCTGCTATATTGCCTACTTGGGTTGAATTGTAGAGTTGTGGTGTGGCGCTGGCCAGCTGCAGGCAAAAGGGATGACTCATGCAATATGATGTATACAAACTAAATAAAACTTAATATGAAGTAATATAAATAAATATAACTGAAAATAATGATTGGTTGGTATGATACAAAATGGATGAACTAGTGAGTGATAGACCATTCCTAGAACTCAACAAAATTATGTGGATGATTGATATATAGATAATAATGATAATTCCATGATGCTATTAGGGACTAGCTACCTGATAATCTTGCAGACTTTACAGTACTTGCACTACTTGTACTGTCATTATCACTCTCTAATCTTGAACCACTACTGCTACGCAACACATGGAGTCGCCCTGGATGATACATTGAATCATTTATGAGCACGCATCATTAGGAGTTTCATGAGGATGATGCATGAATTATCTTTATTCTAAATTGTTATTATTGTCTCAATAATAACAATTCACATTTTTTGCTAATGTGCCAATACTATACATGTACCGTTATCATTCTAGTTAGCTCAGCGGTGATAATAAAGTGTTCAGCTTTGATATATCTTTGAAAAGATTGTCAGGAGTTTCAAGCATATGTGATATTAAAAGCCATGTGTGAATAATGTATAAATTAAACTTTTGTTGTGAAGTGTCATTAATTATGAAAATAGTTATTCATTACAAATGGTATTTTAAGTATATGTGCTATGATTGAAGTATGCAGAGCTTTGTTTCAAGAGGTCTGTAGTTATGGTAAGGTTATGGAGAACATGTCAGAACACTTTGACTGTATGACTTACTTAATTCTAGAACCTGGAACATGGTGCATAGCATTTTTATGAATTTTCGAGTTATAAGGAGGAAATCATACGCAAAAGCAAGCAGGAAAGCATTTTTATTAATTTGTTTGCAAAGCATTTCATTAAGAAAAATAAAACCATGCAAATAACTAAACTAAAATACAATAACTTACAATGACTTCAAATTAAAATGCCATGCCATTCTTAATATTTACTGTAAAACTTACTTTGGAAGATGTCTGCATATAGAATGACCCTTTTTAAGTATACCTATTTGATCATATACATTCAAACTATCTATTACCTGTACTTTGTGACCTTGGTGTCTGTGATGAAGGTGTTGACACTCCACTACTGGGCTGCCCAACTGGTGACCATCCCATTGGTTTCTTGTTATAGTTTGCCTTTCCCCCTGTCTTTGGCATTGTGGGTGGGGGAGTCTTGTGTGGTGCAGACTGGGTAGTAACTGTTTGACCACTCTGTGATGCTGGGGTCCACATTGCAGTAGATGGGGCTGTACTGCTTGTTGGGGCTCCACTTCCTTTTCCTTTAAGATCTGCTTTAATTTCTGCTGCAGCTATGTCACGTTTATACTTGTCAAGATGACTAAATGCTTTATCCAGATTGCCATATGGATTTTCAGCAGCTGCTTCCCAGGGTGTTACTTCAGCCTTGGCTAACTCTACCATCTCTGTTAGACGGTTTCTAGGTTGCTGTCCCCCAACCTCAGGTCCAGCTGATTTAGGAGGAGCTGGAGGTGGTGTTGGAGGCTCTTTCACATTGGACTCATCCACCACCCAATTCTCAGATTTTGCTCTTCGCTTTTCAAAGATCTTCCCTCCCCTTCCCTTTGCCTCTTGCAATGCGGATGCAAGACTAAAGCATGCCTCAGCTGGCACTGTATTATGAACATTTTTTGGCTTGCTTAATCGCATGTTCTCTAGGTCCTGTGCTGTTAATTTCGTTTTAAGTTTTTCTTTTCCACCAATTAAATCAGCAGGAGAGAACTGGGGTATTTTAAAACTAAACAATGCAGAATTTGGATCTGGTGAAGGAGGTTCATATGGCTCAGAAACATCCTCAAGGTCTCCTATGTCACCATGACCACTACCGGAGCTACCTCCAAATTCAGATCCTGCATGTGTCCACTTTCCAGCCTTTTTTACACGCTTCATGAACATTTTCGCACCCCTAGCCTTTTGATTAGCTGGGGAAGTTAACTGCGCAGCAACCCTACGGCACATTTCAATTTGTTCATCTATGCTTGGGTATTGGGCATCAGGGTTGTCATAGAATGCTGAATCTGCAAACATCTTCTCTGAAAATGAAAAAAATATAATTGCATCATAAGTGGTATATTAATGTAATATAAAGATCTGAGACATCATGACATAAAGTCATAATGAGGACAATACATGTACATGACAATATGATGCATTTTAAGTGTATACATGTACACAGAAAAACAACTATTTTAAATGTGTGTAATGTTAGAGTAAATTATATTATAGTAAATGCTTTTAAAATTTCAAGAAATCTATCAATAAAGAATTTAATATGGATGTGACATAACTTAACAATTTTTTCCACATAAAATGATATTTTAATTGTGTAAATGAGATCTGGGTGTTTGTGTTCTATTGATATCACCCTACTCTTTCTGACTTTTTTAGAGAAAAGTTGAACAGAAAGAAAAGTTGAACAGAAAGACATAGTACTCTATAAAAATAGTTGGGGTAAAAATAACAAAAAAGAGCCTGTTGTGAGTACCAACTAATTCATCGTAAGCAAACAGATGGTTTATGGAATTGTGAGGTGAAAATATTAGGAGCTAACTCATCCTGTTTGATGTGGATTCACTACCTAGTTGTAGAGAAACCTGTTGAACATTTATGCTATTCCTCATGCATGATAATGAATTGTGGTAATTTTATCAATCAACTGACTGTTTCCACACTGTATCAACTGCAAAATGAGGTATTAGGCAAGTGTTATAATACATGTAGCCAAATATTATATTTGATTAAATGAGCATGATAAAACTCATGTATGCTTTGATGTTGATCTTAATTTTTATTTAGCATTTGACATTGGATCCAGGAATATAAGATATCTGATTGCTCATATTGGCCAGCAATTAATTAATAGCCAATTAGTAAGCCCATGTCAAGTCAGTCAAATGAGGTAGAATTAAGCGAAATTACATGTACTGGTAGTTCTTTTCACAAAAAATTGTATTTGCATGCCCATTTGTGCTGATATTGATCCATTAATTTTAAATATTTATAGTGATATTCAGTTTCTCATATGTGACATCAACTAGCCTAGCACATTTCCTCAAATTTTGTTTCTTCTGGAAATATATTAAGATGGAAGAGTAATTGTAAGACAAAAATAGGATGCTTATGCTTTGGTTTAGGCTGAACTCATCTGACATTTATTTGGGAAAGTTGCCTAGTATTTCTGGCAGTGGATATAGAAATGATTAGTTCAGTATGTTGGTAGCGCGTATTGTTAGATGTCTTGTAACATATTTTCTGCACCTCTGTTGGCGTATTATTAATTATAGATAATATGACCACAAAGCATTAAATACATGTAGATAAATGTGTGTCCAGTATCTGCCATATTTAATAAAATAAATTTGCTTACTTTTTGACCTTCTGCCACTAGTTATGCTAGAATCAGGACTGGTGTCCATAGCCTCATCTTTTAACACACTGACTTGTTTGTTAGGTGAAGCCCAGAAATGACCTTTTTGGTGTGGTATTAAGGATGGGTCATCTTGTTCCATTGGCACCTCTTGTGAGGGAGGGTCATGTTGTATAGGTATAACCTTTACATCTTCTTTTGGGGGTTGAGGCTTTGGTTGTGGTACATGTGTAGGTTGCCATGTTGGAGGCTTCTCAACAGGGCCTGAGATTCTTCTAACATTAAACTGTGGTCCTTTACTTACAGGGGACACTTGGGCTGGAGATACATTCTCCTTTGTGCTTGGTTGACCCGGGCTCCATATTTTAGGCTGAGGGGCAGAGGGTTCTTCAGGCTTTGGTTGGCTATTACTTAGTCCTAATGTTATTTGTGAAGGCTGTAACACATTAGCTTGAACATTACGCACTTGAAATTTGGGACCAGGCCCAGGCATTGCCTTTGGAGTCTTTTTAATTTCACCATATTGGATCCCTGGATTAGCCATGGGGTTTATTTCAGGTTGAGAGGGTTTATGGGCAGCCTGGTAGGTTTGGGTGGTTTTCTTTATTTCTCCAAATTGTCTACCAGGTTCAAAGCTAGATGGAGGGATTTTTTGTGTTTGATCTATTTTACCACCTAACCTCTCTGCAATGTTCTTAACTTTGAAAATCTGTTTTCCACCAGAATGTCCTAAATCACCTGAAGATGTGGTTATCTTCTCCTGGCGAGAGGTTTTGGTTATTTTGGCATTACCAACAGTTCCTTCTTGAACCTCAGTCCGTATATTATGTGTGCTATCACCTTGTTTGAAAGTCTCTTCTGTTACATTATGCTTTTCTATGTTGTCATAGGGCTGTTGAAAGTTCAACTGAGCCTTAGATGGTGCCACATTCTGGGCAGGTTGTACTGGCTCAGTTGGTTTGACCGCTGGGATTTTAGCAACCTTTAGTGGTTTGGGTTGTTCCACTGGGGCAGGGGCAGCTGCTTGTTTTACAGGAGCAGGTTGTTCTACTCCAATTCCAAATTGCCTCGCAGTTTCACTTCCTCTGGAAAATAATACACACACCATTAGTTCTTCAGATTAATGAAAATTACTTCAGCTAAAATCATTAGTGTGATGTTTGAAACTTTCTCTAAATAAATGATAAATTCTAAAACACTAGCATACATCATAATACCTAAAATATCCAAGAAGAAATATTAGAAATTTTAAAATCCTATGTGTCCATTAAATTTCTTCCATTTTAGAAATGGTATCAACCCAAGCATTCTCTTCAGTATGTCAGAAGTTGTGTTACCACATTATGTATGTACTTGTGCAATATGTAAACATTTTGATGATGATTGCATACTACTTATGATAAAAAGAGAGTATATCATATGTTTACAGGTATGTGTTACATATGATAAGTGCCAAAACATTCAGTGTGATATTCAGTTCCAGGTGCATAACAATACAATAAACTGGGTGCCAATTACTCAGTAATGTACAATGTAGACTCACAATATAGCCTCCATCAACTCAGCAATGTACCCAATTGTAAGGTACATTGTACTGTATTGGCACTTAGCTTTCATACATTTTTCTTTTTTACCAGTCTTCCTACCCACCAAATCAAATTGTATTATTTTTTCAATTCATAGCAGTTAACATCATGCAACAACCTTTCAAATCAATCAAATCAATGATGAACACAAATATTTTCATTACCCTATTATATATTATAATGAATGGGAAAGAGTAATTCAAGCTCACAATTACAGTTGATTAATAAGGGAAGGATTCATATTTAATGATGCCAGAATTGTGAAACTGTTTAACATGAACATTGTTTTTTGTGTTGCCCTTGGTACTTTTTTCTAAAAAGTATTTCAACTGAAGTCTGTTTGTGATTTCAGCGTTCCAGATTTTAGTAAAAGATTTATAATGTTTTACAAAAGGCAGATTATCAGCTTATAAAAATGGTGGATCATTGGTTTTCTCAGTTATAAAGCAAAATAATTCTCACAAATACATCACTTCATCCCTATAAAAGCTAAGCTGTCATGTATTGCCATGGTAACACTTAACACACCATTGCTATAGAAACTACTATCTGTATCCTACTTACGAGATTAACTTTTTAGCATTTTTATCACCTCTGAAAGTTGCAAAATCATATATCCATTTGACTTACTATGTGTAATCATGTTACTCCTGCACTAGGTTGGAATAACTTTCTTTACTGGGACATTGATATTCTACCTGCTATATAATTGGTTTGATATGTGTTTCCTCTGTGTTTTCTCTGAATATTGCCACACCTTTGGTTTCAGCATCATAATATAAACATTTTGACTTTAAACAATTCTTATATTCTAATAAACTTCTATTTATCTAATTTCATCCAACATGCTGAAAACGTTTTCAACCACCAGATGGTATACTCTTTGACAAATTTTAACCAGAAGCATATTCAAAATACAAATTGAAGCATAAATGTTTATTTACCTCATGACAACCATATCAATGTCATTCCCTGCAGCATCAACTAGGGACATGGCATCAGGGTGACTCTTGCCTTCAACATTCTTCCCATTGATAGACACCAGAATATCTCCTTCCTGAAGACCTCCATTGTGAGCTTTACTCCTCTTGCGCAACTGAAAATTCAGATCATAAGAGAGGTAACATGCAAAGAAATAAATACACAAAATTCATGTACATGTATCATTTATTAATATACACATTGAAGAATGAGAAAATAAAACATATTCTACAATTAAACAATGTTGACTTGGAAATGTTTTCTAACCAGTAGATGCATGCTTTTTTGTATTTATGAATCATGAATAAAGTGTACATGTATTTTACACAAACTGGTTGCATCTTGTGCTGATTTGAGGAAAAACATAGATTGTTTCTGTGTTTTTTTGGTCATCCTGACACAACCAAAATCAGAAAATGACCCTTTTACACTCAATGATTTGGTTAAAGATAAACTCAGTTCTCCAGATAAATAAATTAAACTCATTCGATATTAATTTATTGGAAGCATTCATTCTTTTTGTTTGATTTCATTGTACAGTACAAACCTATCACTACTTCTTTAATATCAGATACTGATCTTTTGGCATCCATGTGGGCCTTGTAGAGACGAAACAATTCTTATCATTTGTGAATTACCCAGAGACAAAACTACATTCCAGGAATCTTACTTGTAGGAGGGCAAACACCTCCATGCTCTTAGCATCTTGGAAAATAAGTAGCCAATGATTAGTTCAATATTCTATTTTTACCCCATCATCAATTTCCAAATGATTAGGTTCAAAAACATTCCAACTGGTCTGAGAAATAACACTGAATCATTAGATAACAAATTACATTGGGTTTGGTCCATTTATATTACACAGTAAGAGGATAGATGTTCATGTATTTATATGAGTTTTCTATATTAATGACTTAAATGAAAGAAATATTGAAGGAATGACTTAAATGAAAGAAATATTGAAGACCACTGTCACTTACAAAAAAGCTAACCCTAACATCCCAACATCTTATCAAAACAATAGTTTAAATTACCCCCATGACCGCACCCCCCCCCATGACCGCCATCAAACAACCATTAGCACAATCCAAAACCACAAAACCATGGGTTATTCAGTTTGTTTATAAATAAACTTGTTTTGAGAACTGCACCATTATGATTCTGGTTTCAAAAATCTGTTTGATTTATAGTTGTTATCCTCCCCAACATTTGGCACTTCATTTAGTCTCATGCTAGGTCACATTGACCTGTATACTTACTCTTGGAGATTTGATATGTTTATCTGTGAATGTAGCAATCCTTTTGAATATGTTCCAGTTTCTGGAACTTTTTGAAGCCATATTAATAATCACATTCTATATCAATTCATTGCACCATCATCGCACATCTTTTATTTTAATGTCTATTCTCACATTCATTTTAAGTGACCATATTATTTCACCCAATGCTGAGTGTTAATTACAGGTGTGCTTCAACTACTAGGCAAGTCATATGGCTAATGATACCTTAGCAATTAGGTATTGTGTTATATAGTGGCTTCAGGGATATATCAGATATTATTTTATATTTTATGGAAAGGTGCCATGACATTTTCTTGTATTTGGATTCCGTGAAGATGGTATTTTAACAAACAAAACTGATGTGTATAACTTCCTAATAAATACCTGTGCTTCTTTTATATTTTAAAAGTGTACTTGGAATGGGAGATATCAATTTATTTGAAATGATATTTTATAATTTGGTCTTGAATAAAAAAGATTTAGCCCATTAAAACATAATAACAATATACACTGACCTTCACTGTTAACAAAAAATACATTTAGATTCGGTCAATTGAACAAGGCAGAAATGGTTGCCAATCAATCAACATGAAAATACAAATAAGCCATGTTGACAATACAGTGTTAAATGGATACTAGTGAGCCTTTAATCAATTATCATAAACATAAACATAGCAATTAAGGACTGAAACAGTGGCTTTGACTGCTCAATGAGCATACATGTAGTTGGGTCAGAAATGAGTGAAAGCAATGATTATATAATGTTTAAAATCCAAAAATGACCTGTTTGGAAATTAAGTATCAATCAAACATGTGCATGTAAATGTTAATATAAATATATATCTGATGATAAGCAAAACAATTACCTGAGAACCAGGTTGTTAATGGACAGAGCATAGTCCTTATGTTCAACCCTTGTTTACCTGAACTTTTAAGACTAGTTCAGAAGGTACCCAAGGTTATGTTGTGTTTGGTTTGACCGGTAGTAGGTTGAAGTGGCTGAATTAAGAATGTACTTGTCATTTCTGGTTTAACTTCTTTGCATCAAAGATTAAGATATTTATATGGCTAACAAGTTCACTTAGATTCAATGGTTTTAAGTTTTAGTTACGCATTCATGTACAGTAGGCTAATTGCCAATATCAAATAAAATGATAACAATTAACAATGGCCTTATTTGCCAAGAAAACCTTGCTTTAAATGTTCAGCTGTATAAGACTAAACAAACAAATTAAAATTAGAATGGAAAATTGTATACATGCACTTTTTATATACAAAGATCACCACTAATAGCTGTAATTCTGTAAATGTTGTCTCTTGTACTCCGTTAGATGTACATAGTACCCATTTCAGTTATAATATTTACTCTACAAACTTGTTGTAGGTAAAACAGCTGAACATATATTTGCTTCACATATTTGTATTCTTAATCTTGCTTAATCACGTTTACCATGCTTTTATTAATTAACCAAATTGTTTAATTGTGTCTGAGAGACTAATTACATTTACAACAAATCCTGAAGTCAGGAACATTTCTATGTCTCTATAGCTATAAAATTAGGGTGTGTTATGGAGCCCTATTACAGTTGTTGATAAGTGTTATTTTATTTTCCTTATATTCCCCTCCCCTGTGAATCTGCACAGATAGATATTCAGTTGATTAATTTCTAACCATTACCATTCAACATTGATACCAGTGACTAAAGCAGAATGAAAAAGGCGTAGAGATAACAACATCAGACTGAAACACTTGAACATGGGCCAATGCAAAACCTTCAAGGGCACATACAAACATCCAACAACAGCTTAGTGTCATGGTGATCATTCTACACTTAAATAATGTATTTGGAAAGCTTTATCAGGTATGGTTCACACTAATACTATGTTCCCTTGATAGTGTTCCTGCCCTTTTATCATATTGGGTATTAGGTTTATCTATGTTGTGGATGATCATCAATAATTTAGGACTAAAATACTTAAATTACCTGAATGTTAGAACTTGACTCATCAGTTGAATCCCTTGCATTTAGACCCTTAATTTTGTGATCATTTGTTGTTGCAATTAATTGTTGTTCATCATTTCCATCACAATTTTCTTTGACAGTGTCAGATCCAGATTCATAATCTGTGTTGTCATTCTTTATAATGATTGATCTGTCCTTTATATGAAAGGATTGGTTGTCTTTGTCATCTGATTCAAAAAGGGATAAACTATTTGTCACTGCACTTTGTGTAATGTGCTCAGCAATTTCTTCAGCATATCTTGCAAATAAAGAATGTTCATCGTTGAATATTTCTTGACCACTTTTGGTGCTTGGTTCACATTTCTTTGTTCTTGATGTGTCTGTATTTGCATTTGTTTCTTCGGCTGTTTTGTTTGATTCCTTCCCTACCTTATATATATTACTTGCTTTAAGAATTGATTTGGTGGCAACATTTTCAACATTATTCTCTCTCAATTCATCTTCATTTACCTTAATCATTTTGTCATCATCTTCATTTCTAGACATATCTGTAAAAGTATTATCACGTCCTACATTCTCATGTTTTGAAACTTCATATTCTGTATTGTCCTCTAACATCACATTGTTTACTCGTACTTTCTTTGCTGCTTCCTTCTTCTTACACCATTCAAATGCATTGTTATCACCTTCTGATTGGCCGTGGACCATTTGATTTTGATCCCCATCATTGTCATTCAGTTCCACATTCTTATCCATCTCAGATGTATTTCTATTCAGAGCATCATGTACCACTTCCTGGAGAATACTTTCATTTATATCCTCTTTGTTCTGTATATGTGTCATATCTTGCCTGTTTTTGTCAATAACAGCTGTGACAATTTCCTTTAAATGTCTTACTTTTGTTTCCAAGTCAAAGCTATTCTTTAAGGATTTGGTAGTTTCCTTCTCAACTTGATTAGATATACTGTTCTTTAATTTTCCAGCTGGTTGAACCTCCTTCTTTTTCTCATCCATCCAGTTCTGTATTACCTTGCTGTTTAAGTTATCTTTCTTCTTTGCACTTGATCTTGCTTGTGTAGTTTTAACTATTGATTTCTTGACTGGTGGATCCTTTTTTATTGATGTGCTTCTCTCATTAACAGGATTTGATTGATCTTTTTGTTTGACTTTTATATCTATTTGTTTGTTCAAACTTTCATTGGTTTTTATTTTTTGTGTTTCAGATTTGACGTATTTCATTGATACTGGATTGCTTTTTTGGTCAGATTTTCTTGTTGTTTTCTTAATTATTTCCTCATTCGGAGATTTAATATCATTTTTTCTCCCTATTGAACTAGGATTTTTAGAACCACTTGTCTGAATCCTTGCCTTGGGTGAAGCCATTTCTTTATCACTTTTTTCATCAACTTTCTTAAAAGCAACCTCTTTGGTTGATTTAACTTTTGACTTCACTAATGAGCTATTGAAATATGTCATTGGTCTGACTTTGGTTGATTTGTCCTTATCCTTTTCAATGTCTTTAGTTCTCACAACTTTGTTCTTTTCTAGTTCCTTACTGGCAACATTACTTTTCAGAATCTTTGGTTTGACTATTGGAGTATGTCTTTCAACTTGGGGACTCGGTTTTGATATTAAATGTCTGACTCCAAGTGGCTTCACCAATATTGCTTTTTTCTGGGCCTGTGTTTCCTTCTTCTCTTTTTTGGTTGAATCTTTGTCTGTGTCAGCTGATTTTGTCTTAGGTTTAATTGGCATCTGTTTGGTTGGTATTCTTCTGCCCTCCTTTGGTGTCTTTACTGAAGAACTGGATTCAGCTTTTTGTTCATTCAGTGTGCTTCCTTTCATTGTATCTTTATTCACTCCAACAACTTTATTCTTTGGCTTGATTGAAATTGTCTTGCCTCTTACATCCTGCTCTTTTACGGTCTTGCCAACAGGTTTACCAACTTTATTCCTTGTTTGACCTCTAAATAACGCTGATTTCTCACCATCTTTACCTTCATTTATCAGTGTGTTGTTTGCTGACTTAGGCTTTGATTTTGAATTATATACTTCACCTCCTTTTATTTTAGGTTTTGTCTTATCATCTTGTTTTATCTTTTTGACTTTTACTTCTAAATCTTCCTTTTTGTTTGTATCACTTTTATTTTTGCAGCTTTTACTCATACTGTCTTCCGATTGTTCTGGTGTATAACTAAGAGATAATGCTTTATCTAGTATCTTAAATGATGATAGCATATATTGACATGCCGCATCTATATCATTGTCAATATTTTCTTGGATTTTTATTTCATTTTCCTCTGCCATTGCTGCTCCTTTTCCTTCTGCCATGATGATTATTCTGCACTCCTCTCTATAACTGGGCACAGAACAAACTTACCTGTAAATTGATTTAGCAAGTTAAACAAATTGACTATTCACTGTTTGATAATTTCATAACCTCCAAACCTTCCACTTCACAACAATCCAAACTTGTCCATTGAAAATTGTTGAATTTTGACTCCCATAGTTTACTTTGACTCTGATTTCAAATCATGCACCTTTGATTAGAATTGTTGTTTGACTTGGTTTAACTTTTAGAGAGTGATTTGGTATTTGTTTAAACCTATCATAATTCATTTGGATATATGACCAATAGAAAGGTCTGACAAAGTTCTTATTTGGTTAGTAAATATATCTTGCTTGAATGAAATATAAACAATGGATTCTAAGTAAGTCAGGTGTATTTTTACCATGTAATTTCTTGTTGGGTCATATGAGCATAACCCCTGGAACAAGATATACAAAATAAAGTCTGTACCAGTATTACTCATTAATAAACAAAAACCATCATGATCAAGGGGACTATTTTTTGATAAATATGCATGCTATTGATGATTATTGACCTAATTGACTAACATGAAAATGGTTTATTACATCATTTTCTAAAAAGTATTTACATATTACAAGCAAATTGCATGACATTGTGCATATTGTGCTCTGCACGTCATGGGTACATTATTTATCCTAATTAAGGTTCATGATTAATCTAATAGAGGAGAGAAGAGCAGAGTTGAAGTACTGTACTCAAGACCTGTTGACCACTGATTAAGAGTTTTTTTACTATGGCTATTTTGAACTTTGATGATACTAAAGAGCCCTACAAAGTGAGAAATGCCAGCACAGGAAAAAATATTTCATTAGATATATGTAGTATAGTTTGTTATTGCATTTCTTTCCTGTTGTGTCTTTTCTCCTAACATTTCCCTTTCTGATTACAGACTTTTTCTAAGTGTTCACAGCTTGTATGATTTATACTCATTTTGTTAGAGGAATTTTTATCTTCTGGGTATGTTTTCCTTCACTGTTTGTTAAGATGATAGGATGCAATGATGGCGTCAGTATAATCATGTATCTGCCCAATTGCTCTTTTATGCAGCTATGTAGTCCATGGCATGCATATATTGCACGCCTCCACTATGATGCATAGATATGTTTATTTCTCTGGCTTGCTTTGCTTGCTCTGACTAATAAATTGCACTCCAAATATAGAAGATTTGCTTGTTTTCAGTTAGTTGGTTGTTTCATTGGTTGGTTGGCTGGTTGGTAGATGGGTTGGCAGGTTGGTTGGTTGGTTGGAAGGTTGTCTAGTTGTCTTGTAGATTGGTTGCTTGGTGGATGGATGGGTGAGTGGATTGGTTACTGGTTTGGTAGAACAGTCAGTTGGTTGGAATTTGTTAATGCCACAGTTAAGTAGTCACATCAACCATATACTTACTTACCCCCCTATCACACCAAACTAGTTCTTACCCGTTCTTGCCAGTCCTACCAAAATGTCGTAAAACGGGCTCAATCTGGCTGCGGTCGGGATATATGTCTAAAATAATTAGCTACTTCGTTCATAAACAGTCCTCAATACGTCCATCTCATTCGCAGTTCGTTCAGGTCGCACCACGTCGGTGTGCAACGTAGTATAAACCGTCCCTTAGTCTAGAAGGTCATCATGACCTGATTACAGAACGGTATGGTCGCCATCGAATTTTGAATCGATTCAAAATTCTAAATCACATACCCCGTCCGGGAAAGTCCATGAAGTTCGTAAACAGACCGTAGAACGTTGTAGCTACATTCATTCAGTTCGCACACAGTTTGAAACCAATTCGGCAACGTTTTGACGATCACCAGAATTTTTTTTAGCATGGTCTAAGTGCTGGAGGACCTACTCGTTCTAGTAGTTTCCTGAAGTTTGTAAACAGATCCCAAACGGTTCTTAGTGGGTTCTTAGTACGTCAAATCCGTTCGTGCACAGTTTAAGCCTGTTCGTGCACAGTTTAAGCCCATTTTCGAGAACGTAGTGAGAACTAGTTTGGTGTGATAGTAGGGTTACTGAGATTGTCATCAGACCTTGTGCTTCAACAAGCCATTGTATACTAAAATCTATTTCAGTTTGTTAAAATATATAGTAGAAAGGTTTTTCAAGAAAGATAAAGCTTTTCGTAATTCATTAGAAAACACAAAAGTAATATTAGACAATAAAAATAACACAGCCCTCCAGTATAGTAAACATCATCGCAGGGCAGAAAGAAATCCTAACATTTGGATATGCATTTCCATTTACCACTTGAGCTATCTTACATCAGAAGTTGATCTGATCCCTTAGTTTGAAGTGTTAGATAAGAAAACATGTAAAGCATTCTTCATGTTTTACAACACTTCACAATCTAATTAAAATGCTGACCTGTTGACTTTGGGTGACCTTATGAGGTTGTTGTGACATTAAGAGATTTACCTATTGTAGACAATGATACCTTGAAGTTAATTGCAGGTGGTAATTCATATAGGAAGGCAGTATTCTTCATTTTTCTAATATATCAAAAATACTATATTCATTATGCAGTTTTTATGAATATTTTTGAAATTCAAATGCATGTAGAGTACTAACAGTATATACTTGTGAACACTGGATAGGACATTTGATATTTCAAAAACATCTATAATAGCCTTTTGTCAATGTGTATACATTTCAATTAGACAAAATGATTATAAATCAATACTGATCACTTAGGCAGATATCTGGTTTATCATCATACATCAGTATATTTAATATCACAATCACAATTGATAAGCATATATATTTTCCAGTTAAAATTCATTCATAACATAAAGAAACTTGTATTGTAAAGAAGACATATGAAATATTTTCCTAATTGATGTCAAAGTCATTAATTGAAACATCTCAAAAGAAAACACAGACCAAGACCAAACCCATTAACCCATTAAATGCACCATATAAATGATAAGACTTATAGTCCATAAAATCGCTGATAAAAAGTGAAAAAATTCCAGATTCAATAAATGAAACGAAATTATAAGTGTATTTTAGAAATTAACAGTTGCATACCCATTCTAACTTATTTATTTTCAGCAGACTAAGGTGAACTCAGGCTATAAAGAAGACTTTATGATGATAAACGACGATTCCTGATTTCATGTCCACCCACAGGAACAGATACAAATGCCAGCTTGGTGATAAAATGCTTCATAAACTATCAAATGTGTATGTATATTTTGTTTTCATCTCAAAAGTATTTACATTCTGGTCATCAAATACTGTATACTATACACACAACTGGGAACCTGTCAATTTAGTATGGGCCAAAGACAGTCAGTCATTCAGTCCATCAGCAACCATGCAAAAATGTGTGTACTGTGTATTCTCATAGTTGGTATGTTATACCTGGTTGCTAGAGGAACATCTTGTCTCCACAGTGGAGTTTGATCATGTTCATGTGATATTTGATATGTGTTTTACTTGAATATTTCTGATAATGCATATTTGTTTTTCATTTCACAATCAGAGCAATGTCAACTAGGCACTTCATTCGAGCACCAACTGGGGATTAATTCTCTTTCAAAACAAAGTTTGTTTGAGTATGTATTTGATCTTTAAGGGGGTGGGGCTCCTCCAATTTTCTTTAACATTTTGTTATTGAACATTAAATTGTGTTTGTTTGTTCTACTTTCAGGTGATCAAGTGCCTTAATTAATGAAGAAAAGTAGAAATGAGAAGCAAACACAGATAACAAACTGACAATGATTTATATGGATATATTTTAAATGATATCCTATGATTGAACTTGGACCTTTTTTGAAATACACTTGAGATATTCTATTGAGGTAGATTATATCCAAAAAGGAACTTTCTATTGTATGTATGTATGTATATATTTATTGCCCTTTATATAAAGGAGATACATGTATACAAATTATGTAAATGTTAAATTGAAAATAATCACTATTTACAAACAAACAATATTGCTGTTTTTGACTGACGACGACGCCTAGCTACCGCGTAGACGCACGTCGCCGACCAAAATTGGCCTAGCACCTAATTGTAACGCAATTATAAAAAGATGACTATATTTTACAAACATTCATTGTTTTGTTGTTGTTTTTTATACTGACGACGACGCCTAGCTACCGCGTAGACGCACGCCGTAGGCCTAGATAGACCTGTTACCTAACACTCTTGAGATTAATTGCCGCCACCAGAACACATAAACAGTTTTACTTTATCTCTGTTGTGTTACTGGGACACTCTTGCAAAATGTACTGTTGTTATAATGTTATTATTGTAACATACATGTATGTACTTACTGACACAATGACTCACATATACAATAAAAATGCCTTGAACCTTCAGAAAATATGATTAGATTGTTTTTGACATGCAAATATATGGTCATGAGCCCCATCCCTTTTGAAGATACAGATTCATATATTTGTCTTATTCTCAATATTTCATAATCACTACTTATTTAGACAAGTATATAGTTTTGTCACATAGATACTTTCTTAAATGGTTTTCTGAAATTGATATGCAAAATTACAGCATTGCAATTGTTCTAAAAGGATGTAAAAAACATCAGGGTTTTTTGCTAGGGATTGCATGCTATATATATATTTACAAAACTATGTGTTCAATGGCTTGAAACTCCATTGGGAACCTCTGTGTTCCATATGTATCAATATCATGAAATCTAAATTGTTCTTTAGACCTCCAGTCATACTAATCATTTCTATAGGATTTTTTCGCAATTTTGAACAATTCTCTCAACCCCCCCCCCCCCCCCCCAATGACTCCTTCACTTCATTTTGAAGGTCTTACTGAATATTCATCTGGATTATTTTTACTTATTTTTATATATTGTCTATTTACCTTTGTTGTATTGCAATTTGATAACGCCATGTACAATTCAAAATTTCCATTGTAAAGTGTGCATTGATTTTCTATACTGTGCATATATGTATGCAAATCACACCAATGACTTATCCTCATGTTTTGAAAACATATCTTTAGGCAATGTTTTGATGATCAGGCCAGATGTAGATTAAGG